GGTTGAGTCATACCGGCGGCAACTCGGATTTTGACTTAGGGAGGCGAGGGTGGGTTGCACTTGTGTGTGAAGCATCATAGGCTGGAGGTGTTGAAGGTTTTGGTGGAATGTACAGGGAGAGGGAATTGAAGGTGGGTGTGTGGAGTGGTTGTGCAGAGGAGAGAAAGGGAGGGATGGAGGGGATCGGGGGTTAAGGTAGGAGTGGTGCGAGAGAAAGAGTGTTGGGGGGGGGTGGGAGAAGGGGTGGGTGATGGGAGGGTGGAAGGGTGGGCACAGGTGGGATTTGGGGAAGACGAAGGGGTGGGTGAGAGGGGCACGAGTGGGATTTAGGGAAGAAGGGTTTATTTATTTATTTATTTTTTATAATTAATTAATTTTATTTTATAAATAATTTATTTTTAATTTCCACATGGATGACACGTGACGCTTAGTCATTGTCCACATGGGCGTCATGTCATCAGTTAATGGCAAACTTAACAGTTTGACTAACAGAGGTATGAAATTGTCCCAAATTTAAGACTTGAGGTATGACTCTGGGATAAAAAAAACTTCATGTACCAAATGTTGAAAACCACGAAACTTTAGGGTAGTAAACAGAGATTAACCCTAAAATTTAACACATGTTGGAGTATATATGTGGTTAAGTTCGAATAATATCAGTGTCTTAAATAAATGACCTAAGTGTCATTAGTAGTGAAATGTGAGGCGTAAAAGTGATCAATAGAGAATGTGAAGGAATGTAAGGTGATCAATAGAGAAGACCCCTCCTTAAGGTGTTCACCAATGGCTTATTGAGGTCTAACACGTTGTTTGCATAGCTCGGTTGTTGTCTTTCTTCCAAGACCAACTCGCTTAGTCGCTGAATTAATACATCAAAGTCATCTTGGCTCCTTATTAGGCTGAGACGGACATAGCGGGTTTCAGCTGCAAAATCGCTACCGCTACGCCCATTAACTTTTGCTTCTTCCATGACTTTGTAGCAATCTTCATCTTCTTCCCTCTCGCACTTCACCCACGCATAAGCTGCCAATGTAATATGAAAATCGTATAAGTTTTGAACCTACCTTTTCAATTTGTTAGGGTGCTCTTATTGTCACCATTTGTACAGAACATATCACATATATATCTAACAAAAATTCTATAGTGCTTGCAGATTTCTGCCCGGCGTCATTAGTTCTTGACAGTTTCTACTCTTTGTGATTAAATCATGTACAAAACTGTATAAATAGTGAAGATGTTACCTGGTGAGGGTCCTCTAATTTTCTGAAAATAAGTGCAATATTGGGGTGCAATTTTCTGTAGAGAAAATCGGTTGGAAACAGACAGGGTGTTGGTCAATTTTTCCCAGCGGTCCTTCATGGTGTTGTATCCGAATTCAAAGATTTCCCTGCCACCAGTTTCAAGAACTACATCGATAAGCTTCAGAGCTCTTAGCTGAGCATCCCGAGAAACACCCATGCTGCTTGTACTCATATACTCCGCCATTCTTTGATACACAGACTCATTCTTTATCACCGCCCATCTGCATGCGCAAGTGCAAACATGCCAAGCAATATGTCGTTACTGAAATGAGCTTCTTTAATTAATTGGTTCATCAACTTTTAACTAAGCCTGAAATTTGAATAACGGGTTCTTTGGTGTGGATCTGGCTTCAAAGTCAAAATTCCGATCAGCGAAAAACAGGAAATACGAAAATTTCTCAGCCTTGAGAAAATAGTGTTACTAGAAAAAAATATAATGATAAGATGATTGTGTTTTAAAATGTATCACTTTGTCCCCAAACTTCTTGCAATTTTTAAAACACTCGTAGCATTGAGTTTGTCTCCATATAATTTGGCTTTATATTCCTTTTCCTAGTTGTCAATAAAATTGTTAGTAATATTACGATGTCATATGAATTTAGGTATGTACCCAAATCGAGAACCAGCATGGCCAGTGAGCTTGGAAAGTGAAAATATCATAAGATCATAATCTGCTGAAGTTGGAATCGCTGTAAAATGCGGCCAGTAATAGACACGATCATAGATTGCAGAGAAATTGGGGCCATGAAGAACTGCCTTATTCAGCTTCCCATCAGGATTGTTTGGTGAGGTTACAAACTCAATAACGTGATCGGCATCTGAAATGTTCTTCAATGATGATACATCTCCTTCAAACCGATAGTCCAGTGATCTGAAAAGTTCTGTTTGTGTCTCGTAAAGCTGTACGCATCAAATTCAAACTTGTCACAATACAAGTAAATTAGCAATAACTTCATCCTCTTGTACTCTTACCTTGACTTTCAGTTCGGTCTTGTAGTTTACAATTAGCTTCAATTCAGTTCAAAGTTACAACCCGTTCGTTCAATTTTCTTGACGGTAATACTGTACATATGATTTTCAATGACTACACCGTTACTAAACATAACTGAAGTTTAAAAGTTTTAACCAACGTGAAACTAGGAGAGTTTGATCGAAACCACTAAAGCTATAGCGACCAGATCGAAAGCGAGATCAAACTACGAGTCCAACTTGTCGTTAATAAAAGGATATGTTTCCTCCCCACTATTCTGTTTTCTTCATTTCTCTTATATATATATATATATATATATATATTTCTCCTCTATCTGTACCATAGAAATGAAAAATTTAAAAGACTCGCATGAAATTCAGAAGCAATTAAGATCGAACCTTGTAGTAAGGAATTGAAGCAACAACACTTGCAGGCGAGGAGGAATTCTCAGGAGCGAGTGCATAAACTGCAGCGTTGAGAAGTTGGGTGGAGCCAGCTCCGAAAACAAAATATTTTCCTTCAGTGACCGCATTTCCAACAACGGCATGTAATTTATGGATGCTCGCCTCGAGCTGTGTTGATATGAAAGAGTCATCAGGATAGGTATACCCCATTCTATGCCACCCAGCTACTAGAATTGCACTTTTAGCTGCATGCTGCATCCAAAATGGCTCCAAGAAATATGGATTCCCACTGCAAAAACAACATTACGTATCAAACATAATAGTAAATCAGAAAAGCCACACCCGAAAATATATGTTTTATACAAAAACAATTGCAGAGCTCAAGTTCATGCTCCATATTTTTTGGAGAGAGAGAGAGAGAGAGAGAGAGAACCTGTCAGCATTTGCTGCACAATCAGTTGTAAACTCAGAGCAGTCAGGGCCTCCGTAGCAGGAATTGCACTCACAAACAGGCTCCTTTCCATCAAGAACCAGGCCGTCCAAGTAGGCTCTTCCATGGCCTGAGCAAGAGATGGCTGCCACCTGCTCAGCTTGTTCTGCTGCTCTTTTGGTCCAACTCAGCGCCCACTCTCCATCCGTATAGAGTAATTTAAAAACTACCAACAGATTAACAAGTAAAGAACATGCTAGGATAACAACGTAGGAGCATTGTGCCTTACCCATGTATGCTTACTCTCCTCGCTCTCTAATGATATGGATAGCACCAACCGTACGTATACTGGTTTGAGGTTTGAGTATTTTTACTATTTTGGAAAGTCTGATACGTGCTGGTAATTGACTTGAACCAAGAAAATTTTGATGCCTCTGTTTATACGCAAACTACTTTTCTTAAGCGAAAGTTACAAGTAGAAAAGTCTTCGCAAATATTCATCGCATTTAGTTGTTAAATCAGACACGGAAAATAATAAAAACAAGAATAAAATAACATCCATGGCATCTGGTTGAATAAAGTATTTCCCTCTTGCTGACAAATGACAATTAAATATTGTAATCAAATCTTAATTCTCACATCAAATTATACACCTACCTCCGAAGCTCGTATTTTCCGGGTCAAATTCTAAACTCTTAACCATCAGTCGTGCTCTTAGCTTCGTTCGAGGATTCAATTCCCTGATCAGACTTTTTGAGCCTCTTTGCTAATAATTATGGCTTTGTTTTCAGTTTTTAATTTTTAATTTTTATATATTTTATGCTTGAGATATGAAAAAAGTATTTCTACAACATAAAATAGTTTTTTGTTTTCTTTTTATGCATCTTTTTTGTACATTTCTTCTATATTTAACCCACTATTCTTGTCACTTAGTATTACAATTTAGTAGTATTTATCTTCATATATAAATAAAAAATTTCACATTCAAATATCGTAGATGGTGAGATTGATAATAATTTTTTCACCCAACGGCCTTTAGTGTAATCATGGAGGGTTAGTTTGGGGATGTGCTTTAAAAAAAAACAGCTACTAAAAAGTTTTGGAACATCAAATGTGTTTGGTAAAAAAAGTTTTTTTTTTTAAAACTGCAGCTGATAATAGTAAAAAGCAGAAGCAAAGTCTACCATGCTTCTCCAAAAAGTGTTTTTTTCAAAGCATAGTGAATAGTGCACATTTAATGAAATTTTCAAATGACAAATATACCCCGCATATATTACAAAAGTCAAATCTTTGCCTTTGCATTATTTTCTTTGGCCATTATTATATCACATTCAATATCATATTATTTTTAGCCATTTGGCATATTCATAATGATTTTTTATAATAATTTACCAAACACTCAGACATTATTTTTGTTTGTTAAATGCACTTTTACAAGAAGAAGTTAACCAAACATTCAACAACTTTATTTTACAGTTGTTCATTTTTTTTTAAAGAGCGCAACAATACCAAACTATCCTTGAAAAAAAAAGGGCTTAACACAACAATAAAAAATGAATGAAGATAAAAAAGCTGTGATGGTGGTGGTGGAATGGTTGATAGGGTAGATACGCTTGATAGTGGTGGTTGAATGGTTGATAGTGGTGGAATGGTTGATATGAGGACCCTCATCAAGCACCAATATTGGCATCAAACTGCGACTTACTTTTCAACTCAGTCTCTACTCCGTATGGAATCTGCTACAGTCAGTTCCGCTCGGAAGAGTTAAGACTTGTGATGCCTGGGGCGCCTTTCCTCAAGTATTTGCTTTGTCCTTTCAAGAACACCGAAAAATATTGAACCCCCAATACCTATCCACAAAACTCGTGGTCCAACACCCTGCATCAAATACCACAAGAGAAGCTTAATACGGGTTCCTTTTGTTTCTCATCGAAAGGAATTGCATGCGGGCCCAACAATCAACGCAGTTCAATGATCCCAACCGTCTACTTTTCAACACGCAAAGATCATAGAAAATATCACTAAGTCCGGAATCACTTAGTCTTCTAATTATTATGAAACGAATAAACAAACATAATGTATCCGACAAGCAATGAAAGCATAATGAGAAGAGGGAAGGGAGAGTAAACTCCAAATATAACCCTAGAATTAAAGATAGGAAGTCTATGGGGATGCTGAACTGAAAAGAGAGACATTGGTTAAAAGTCTTCAATATAAAGCCCTTAGAAAATCAGATTTCTTAGAGCCTCTCAATCCGAGGAGCCAATTCTACAGCAGAGAGTCCCAACGGACACAAAAGATGTTTCTTGCATTCCAGCAATGACACCAATTCCTAGCTTGATTTGGCATCTATGTCAATTTGCCACGGAAGCCTTTAAAACAAAAACTAGACATTTCACTTTGACATCTCAATTGGAGAAGGTCCTCCTTAAAATAAAGTGAAACATAAGACAATTATCAAGTTAAATTTCAGTAGCAAGGAACGGTCGGTTGTTATACCTTCCAAAAAGCATGACTTCCTTCTTCTCTCATTATGGTCCCAACACAATCACAAATTCCTTGGTACTGGTTTCCTGATCCCTGCAAAAATTAAGTAGCAAAGAGCACGGTGGAAAGGAAAGTTAAAACAGAGTTAATTCAATCTAAAAACAGAAATGCACATTAATACCTGAACCATTAATCTCGTTTTTATCACGTCAAGAGGAGTAGTTATAGCTCCAGTTATTGCACCTGCAAGTTAGAGAGAGCAAACTGAAAGGCTTTTCATTGAACGCTGCATTATTATGGGATGATTAACCTAGCACATGCAAGTTACCTTTTCTTTTTGTTAAAACACATGCAAGTTACTTAAGTACCAATAAGCATGAGTGGACTGGTTATGGTGCACTTATTACAAAGTACCAAGTTGGCATGCAAAATATCATCTTAACTAAGAATTTTCTTGTTCTTTCTATTTTCAAAAGCTTGTTTATATTACTACATTTATTAAATGATATATCAGAATATAAGAGGAAGAATATATCATTACAATGGCATTCAGGGAAGGCGTTTGTGTGAGATAGTCATGTAAGTTGAAGGTCGACTCTACAGCTAGCCATATTGATTTTGTAGCCAGTTTGGTAGTGAAAATTGACTTCCTAGAAAACAGATAAGGTGAGTGCGGGCTACTTTATAGATATGTGAATAAAGTAATGCATACAAACATTCATGCATACACACAGAAGTATAAATCCCATAGGAATTACATGGACAAGAGTAGAGATAGCGGGCAGAAAGTCCAAAGAACCCAATCTAAAGTCAGAAAATGTAAGATGTTACGTTACCAGCAAAAGCACCAATTAAAGCAACCTCAGGGTCTTTCAGATCTCTTCGTGCCTACAGGGAAGCTACCAGAATATAATCATTTTTCCAGGACGCACACTGACAGATCCATGTATATTCCAATGCAGAAGAAATAAATAAAATGGCAAAGACTGAAACTTTAGGGACGAGAATGGAATCGAACTACATGGCCAAACAATGCAATTAGACTTGAATCATGTTTTTCGATCACACACTCATAGGCACAACCCATGTATTGCAATGCAGATCAGCTACCAAAATGTTTGAGGGAAAAAAATGAAGCTGCAAAAAACTTTATGGGCAGCAATCAAATAATTTCTAGTGGTGAGTTAACATAGCTAAAGCTTACTATTTTTTGTATGGAAAATGAGTTTAGCTTTTAACTAATAGCATATTTGAACTGGGTTCAAGAATTCCTTGAACATCTCCATTAACAATTATAAATATACTCTTATCCTACCGCTAGTTTAAATCCTATTCGAAGCTGCTCGTAGATGCAAAACTGAACAGCATCAAATGGTAAATCTCGCAGTAGGAATGATCCATACCCCTGCAATCACAAAAAGACATCAAGGCATAAGCACCAAAGCCTTTTCACAAGCTAAAAGCAAATACTATAACGAGCGAATCCACTGATTGTAAAAGTTGTATACACAACTTACGACCTTTGTTTCAAGATAAGTGATTTTTTGTTAACTAAGACGGGACATTTGTTATAGGTTAGAGTTTAAACTAAGAGAAACCTCAGACTCAAACTTGGCTCGGAGAAATTTAGAGTGGAGAACACTATGGGTGACATACCGCATAAAGACCTTTGAAACCCTCCTTAGCAAGAATAAGACGGACAGCATCTGGGGCTGAGGAAAACTGTGCGGTTTGCATCCGTTGCTTGACAACCTAGGAGTAGTTAAAATGGTAACAAGGGGAAGAAACAAATAACTAATTGATGGAAATCAGAAACAAATGAACTTAACTACCTCTGTTGGAACTCGTACAACAGAAGAAGCAGCACCTGCAATGGCACCTGCAGTCTGATTGAAGTCTTAATACCTATTTAAATAACAATGGCCTTTGTGAAGCAATTTATGTTTCCTAGCATTAAGGATTGTTAGTTAACGTGCATTCAAAATTGGGTAACATACCAAATGAGCTAAAGCACTAAGGTTTTCTGGCAATACGTTCAGAAGTTTCTGCTTTGTAGGTTCATAAACACCAACAAATATGGCAGAAGCCCTGTGAAGATTCACACACTTAGTAAGAAATTTGAAGCAATTCAACAAATCTGAGAAGACTAAGAACGTATCACAGATTGACCATATCTGCATGTTACTCCAAAGGAACAAGAGACAGCTATATATTTTTACTTTCATCATATGCACTTTTCCCCATAAGGAGAATATACTTGTTTGTTTGCAGATAAAACTACGAGATCTAGTTCAAACTACGAGAATGATTATCATGTATCTTGACAGAAGTTTTCCATTTACAATGCTATTCCTATGTAGTGCCGATTGAGAAAAACTTGACAGAAGTTGTGTTCCAAACGCAATGCTATAGTATAGGACTACATAAACATGTATACTAGACTAAACCTTTATTACCTATTTGCTGGACACAGACAGTTATCAAAGGGAAATGCTTGAAAATGAGAAATAAAAAAAAAAATAAAAAAAATAAAAAAAATAAAAAAATAAAAAAAGCGAAGTACGTATCCTGCAAAGAGGGAAACAATATCACAACAGTTCACTAAAGTTAGGAAAGAATGGTTTTAACACTTTTCCATAGGTGATAATATCGTTTGTTAAAAAAAAAAACACTTTTCAATAGGTTTTAAAGTCAGATAAATTATGTATCAAAAGAAAACGAAAACAGCAGGTCTCCAAATTCAAATGCATCCTCAAATGGGGAAAATTGGATGCACTATACTAATGCATGTAAGGTTTCGTAATATATCTTGGTTAACGTTTCAGATAGCTTAGGCCCAAAAGTCAGGTTTGACATAAATGATCACAAAGGCATATGGAACAGGAAAAACACCAAAGTAAGCAATCAGCATGTAAATTTTCAGCAAATGCCTATCTATCTGATATTGAACTGTACTTCCTACCCAAGTTTTTTTCTTGTTTTTAAGAAAAATATATACTTACGGCAAGACACCAGCAAGGTTTCCAGCCAATCCTGAATACAGACCCTTCAACATAATTTGCCCTCCAGCATGGGCAACCTAAAAGTGAATGCGAGGAAAGAAAAATAACAATTTAGAGAATAGGCAAGTATTATGTAGGAATGAAGACCATTCTATAACCAAAAATACACAGATAGTTACATTAATGAAAAGCCACAATAGTTCACTTTTTGATAATGAACTACGCAATTCTAGAAAATCACTATTCATTCTACAAATACTGAACCAGTTAATTAAGAACATATACAAAGTAATACTCGTGAAGGTCATTGATCATGGACCAAGACTTTGTAACCACATATGTTGGGAATTAGTCACTCCCGTGTTAGATAACTTAGCGAATAAAAATCAGCATAGTAGCACCTAGAAGTGACTCCCTATAAATATATAAATGAAGGCATCATGTAGTGGGAATTAGTCACTCACATGTCAGACGATTTAGCCAAAATGAGCATGGTAGCACCTAACAGTGACTCCCTATTAATATATAAATGAAGGCGATGATTCTTCCATTATCATATGAATGAATATTTCCTTTCGCCTACGAGATATTCCAAACAGAACCCAGAAGATAATTAAGAAAGATATTCAGCATAGGTTACATGCCTGTAATCGAGTTTTTATTGTGTCAATAGGGTATAAAGCTGCTTCTACAAAAACACCAGCAGCACCGCCAGCTATGACACCATCTGCAATGCTCATAAAAAAACCAAAGAAACCAACTTCTCTCCTTGTAAATATTCATACGAATGCTTGTTCACAATAGTATGGTACACAATTGGAAGAAATAATCATTTTCCAGTGCAGCATTAGTTAAAAAATATATAAAGAAACACTATGAGATGAAATTGAAGGAGACCACAGTTTATGCTCGCCTTTTCCATTTTCACTTGATCAATAGCTTCAGGGAGGTTGCTTTTTTTACAAGGTTCAACATTGCAAGGCATCTACTTTCGCATTTCATAAAAGTTCATTCCACTTGGCACTTGTTTTCGAAAATGATGGATTGATATAACGCTTCTCAGGACCACTAGCTAATAATTGGAACCACATTTCACACATATGACTGAAAGTTTGAAAAAAAAAATTCACTACACGCATCTAATTAGCACAAGAGCAATCAATAAATCGTATTGCTTACCATAAAAATCGCGTAAAAGATCGAAAGGTGTATCATCTCTATCACTAGCTGTTGTCAAGCAGCCATTTGGCACCTTCTCAGAGCTACCCATGCTGATGGCTACCACATTTGAAAAGTACAATTACAAGCAATAAATACATACTAATATGACATACATTACACTGGAAGAAGGTTGGAAAGCATATTACCGCTAAAAGAAGCCCTAGAAAATTAGAATCCAAAACATAAAGTTTTTCTCACTCATAAGTGAAATTACAAAGTTAATTTACGATGTTTAACAAGACTATCAATAGCTTTGGGTAATTAAACAGAAGTACAAAACTAAGTTAACCCCTGTTTGGCTGCCGAGAAAATAGAGTTGGGAAAAAAAGGAAAGGAAAGAGATCATCAATGTATATTTTGGTACAGCATTCTCAAGGGCCTGCGATCAAACAGGGAACCTGGGAAAAAGAGATGGAAAGAAAATGAGATCAAGAGAGAAGAAAATCAAAAGAGAAGTACCAGGTGAATGTGATTGAGAAGTTTTGGTTTGCATCGTCGCCGTTCGAAGATTTTTCGCTGTGCGGGGCTTCCAGTTTGTAATCCGACTGAGCAGAGAAATTTTGGAAAGGGTAATTTTAGTGGCTAAACTTTTAAATTAATTTTACAAACTGAATGATATATTATTATTAAAAAATAAATCCGTTAATTAATACTTAAATAATAATTTAATCATCAATATATACATTATTTGGTTTATAAAATTTGGTTTTAAAACTTTGTCACAGTCCGTCCCGGAGGTGCTTTTGACGGGAATGTGGAATGACTATATTACCCTTGATGAGTACTAAGGTATGTATGTACGTGGCGTTATTATGGTTCAATATTGGTTAAGTTTGGAAGGGATAATTATATAATTAAGTTGGTTTAAAAGATTGATTTTTCTTGTTAAATTGGTTAGGATGATTTATGGTTGGTGTGGATTAAGGTGGACCACACAGAAAAGGGACCTCTCTCTCCCTCTCCCTCCCGTAGCACTCTTTGTCTCTCTACCTCTCGACCTCGCACACACACACACCCAAATATGTACGGACCACAACCAAAACCCTTCAAAACTTGACGGATCGAGGCAAATAAGGTATGTATCTTCATCCTTTTGACGTCCTGAGTTCATTGGTGCTAGTTTTAGGAAGTGAAACCTTCGATTTCACGTGGGATCCGAAACCTCCATTTTTGGGTACTGTTCATGCGAACGTAAAATGTTGTGTTTCAGGGAAATTCAAGCTTATAGCAAGCTTAGTGAGGTCCTAAGGAAGCTCGGGGACGTTCGTTTGAAGGATTTGGACTTCGGGATCGTGGGTTTCGAAGTTGGCCGAATCTTTGGATTTTGCTCAGTGAGATTTCTTGATTTTTAGACCCTAAAACTAGTCCAATGTGATTCTACATGTTTGGGGCTTCAATTTGATATAAAATACGAAGAAAATGGGTGAAAAACGAAGGAGAACAAGAAGTTTTAAAATTGGCCGGAATCCGGTCGCCGGAAAAACCAGTCCGGCGACCCAAGGAAGAAGAAGGGCGCGTGGGGGGCGCGTAGGCCCGTGCCACGTGCGGCGCGTGAGCCCTCCAAATTTTTTTCTAAAAATTTCCCGACGCTCGTGACGTCGAGTAGGTCGATGTGGTATATTCATATACCTAAATTGAGCATCGTATGAGAAGTTATTTCGAAATATTGGTGATGTGTTTAAAATTAACGTTTTATAGTTGTTTCGCATATAGGTGAGACGTATCCCGAGGACGACCGCATTCAAGGACGCCACGGGGGTTACGACCCGTCGACTTACCAGTGAGTGGGCAGTTTTATTTTCGTATTACCTTTATACTATCGATTTTTCCCAAAAAATGATTTTATGTGAAAATATGTTTTAGAAAATGCCATGCATAGAATTATTTGAAAAATGTGAACTTCATATGAGTTATATGATTGATATATGATGCATACATGTTGCATGGTACAGTGGAGGCACAAGTAAGTCAGGTGAGTTCATTTATTCATTTAATTGGTTGTTGTTGAGATGTTTTGAGCTCATAACCTGCACCCTAGGTGTTAGTGCTTATATTATTCACCACACCGCACGCTCGTCTTGGATCCAAGTAGGTGGATGTCGTACAGACCATGTGAGGGTTCCGACATGCTAGTCGTACAGATCACTAGGCGTGATTCCGACTAGTGGGTGACCTTAGTTATGCGCGCTGATGATATGATGAGAGAAGCACTAGAACGTATTTTTACACCTTTCATCGTATAGACTACCTTACGTAATTCCGAGTGATGTGCAGAGTAGGGTCGTACAGGTCACGGTGGTGACTCCGGCTTAGTGGGATATTGAGCTGTTGAATTAATCGTATAGGACCAACTGCAGGGTCTCCGATTGATTCCTTATTTCACCTGATTTATATTTGATTTATGGCATGGCATGTTTTTCTTGAACAATGTTGAAGATTTGGGATTCAAGTTTTGAGATTTCATATAGTTGTATTTATATATATATATTTTTCTGGGAAAGTATACAGGTTTTACGGTGAGGGGTTAGAAATGTTTTAAATGAAATGTTTTGGAAAAATCTTTGGTTTTACTGACCCACTCATGTTGTTTTGCGCCCCTCCAGGTTCTAATTTAGCGGTTGGTGGCTCTCGAGGTCTTTTTCGGCCTTCTAACAGACTTTCGACATGTAGGACTCACCTGAGGGTGATGTATTTTAATTTAGTCCTACTTGACTGCACTTAAACCTATGCTCTGAACTTATGTGTTTACTTTATAACTCGTCAGGTTATGTTCGTAGGTGGTTATGTTGAGTTTGGTTTGAATTTCTGCTGATTTATGTTGTTATTTTGCTTCCGTGTCGCGCCTATGGTTACGTCACGACCACGTGACGGCCAGCACACCTGGATCCTCCGGATCGGGTGTGTCAACTTAGTTTCATTAGCATTATCCTTTTGGAAAAGGGAAATTGAGTAATGAAATGTTACAACATTTGTACAACAAAAAAGTTAAATGATGTTAAACTAATCTCTCACACGCTGATTTATTTTTAATTCACAAGGCGCTATGTGTTTCAAAAGATACATTACTTTAGTTGTTTTGTATTGTAATGTTTAATAAGTTTATCTTACATCGCCGGTCCCAAGCCCCGATAAAGGAAGAGGGGGAGGGCGTCAGGTAGTTGACAGTCGGCACTCCTAGGTTACGTCGAATCCTTATGAAAATGAATCCAAAACGAAATCACGCTAAAGCTAGGGCGTCACCTGTAAGTGGCGCGCTATATGGCCCAAGCACAGTGATAAGTGAGTAAGGATCATCTCCATCGGCATCCGGATGCAGTGTTAAATGAGCAAAGGGGTCATAGAAACTTCTTTTTGAACAACTCCACTCAAAGTTGTTTGGAAGCATATTATCCTATCAACTTTACACAGGACACACAAAAGAAGTACTTTGATCTTATTAGACGATGAAAGGTGAAGAAGTTAGGACATAAGGGTAGAGTTCAAGAGAGTAGAATGCGTTTAGGAACGTGGAATATAGGAACCTTAATGGGAAAATCCATGGAAGTAGTGGAAGTTATGGTGAGGAGAAGGATAAGTATTATGTGCTTACAAGAAACTAAGTGGGTTGGTCTTAAGACAAAGGATCTAGAAAACTCAGGTTTTAAACTTTGGTATTTGGGCACAAATAGAACGAGAAACGATGTTGGCATCATCGTGGACAAAACCTTGACACAAGATGTTGTAGATGTCAAGAGAGGAGGAGATAGAATTATGGCAATCAAGATTGTAATAGAACAATAACTCATCAATATGATTAGTGCGTACACACTTCAAGTAGGGTTGGGTATGAGTTTGAAGGAGAAATTTTGAGAAGATCTTGGAGAATTTGTGCAAGGAATTGCTTAGACGAAGAAGGTATTTATATGAGAAGATTTAAATGGACACGTGGGTAAGGAGACATGCAATTATGGAGGTTTTCAGGTGGCCATGGTTTTAGGGAGAGAAATGAGGATGGGGAAGCCATCTTGGATTTTGTAATAGCATATGATCTCTTCTTAGCCAATACCTTCTTTAAGAAGAGAGAAGAACATATGATCACCTACAAGAGTGAGTTGTCAAAAACACAAATAAATTTTCTTCTAATGAGGAAAGGGGATCGTATAACTTGTAAGGATTGCAAAGGTATACCGGAAGAGAGCTTGGCTAATCAACATCGCTTGTTGGTGATAGATGTGCATATCAAAAGAGAGGGAAAAAAGAACAAGACCTGGAAGTGCCCAAGGACTAGATGGTGGAATCTAACAAGAGAAAAACAAGTCATTTTCAAAGAGAAAGTAATTACCCAATGCATGTGGGATAGAGAGGGGGAAGCTAGCCAAATGTGGGATTCCATGGCTAGTTGTATCCGAAAGGTAGCAAAAGAAGTATTAGGAGAGTCCAAGGGATTTGCTCCACTCTAAAAGGATCTTGGTGGTGGAATGAGGAGGTACAAACAATGGTGAAGGCTAAGAAGGAATGTTGTAAAGTCTTATACAAGGATATGACCGATGAAAATGGTGAAAGGTATATAATAACGAAGCAGGAGGCGAAGAAAGCTGTGAGAGAAGCTAAGCTAGATGCTTATGACAATATCTATAAGCGACTAGATACCAAAGAAGGAGAGTTGGATAACTAAAAACTAGCTAGAGCAAGGGAAAAAAAGACAATGGACTTAACCAAGTGAGGTGCATCAAGGATGCGGATGGAAATGTTCTTGCTATAGAGAACATGGTCAAAGACAGATGGAGAGGTTTTTTTCATAATCATTTCAATAAAGGACATGAAAGGAGTACTTCTTTGGGGGAGTTGAGTAATTCAGAAGAGTGTAAAAACTACTCATTTTACCGCCAAACTAGGAAGGAAGAAGTGGTTGTAGCTTTGAAAAAGATGAAGTATAGAAAAACAGTGGGCCCAGATGATATACCGATCGAAGTGTGGAAAGACTTGGGAGAGACAGGTATAGCATGACTAACAGACTTTTTCAATAGGATTTTGAAATGAAGAAGATGCCAAATGAGTGGTGAAAGAGCACTTTGGTGCCTATCTACAAGAATAAGGGCGACATATAAAATTGCATGAACTATAAGGGTATTAAGCTAATGAGTCATACAATGAAGCTCTGGGAAAGAGTCATTGAACATAGATTGAGGCAAGAGACACGGGTTTCGAACAACCAATTCGGGTTCATGGAGTCAATCTATCTCTTACGAAGATTGGTGGAAAGATATAGAGATAGGAAAAAAGATTTACACATGGTCTTTATAGATTTGGAAAAAGCGTATGATAGGGTCCCAAGAGACATTCTTTGGAGGATTTTAGAGGAGTACGAGTAACATATATCCAAGCTATAAAGGATATGTATGATGGACCAAAGACTGTTTTATGAACTCATGAAGGACAAACTGAAAGCTTCCTTATAACTATAGGGTTACATCAAGACTCATCCTTAAGTCCTTACCTTTTTGCATTGGTAATGGATGAGTTAACGGGACATATTCAAGATGATATTCCTTGGTGTATACTTTTCACAGATGATATAGTGTTGACAGATGAAAT